TTATCACTATTCCAGCAATTCCAACACTTTCACCATTTCGGGTCGTTGATTTGGAATTCTATTCACACATATTAGTCCCAATTTAATAAGTTCAGCAAAAATATTTTTTGCTTCATGTGAAGATGAATCTTCAGATCTAAGATCTTGGAGAGCATCTATAAAGCCAAATAAATAATAATATACAATTATATAATTGATTTGTACCATACAAATAAATATATATATATATATATATATATTTATTTATATTTAAGAAACATTGTTATTGAATTAATTTGAATAAAAATTACCTAGCTGCCCTTCTTCACAATATGCTGTTACGTGATCTTTAAGAAATTTGTATTTTCGTTTGTCGTCATATACTGATAAACCAGTTGCGATTTCAAATAATACAACGCCAAAACTATATGTATCTACCTAAAATATATAAATGAACTTATACTAAAAATTGTAACTATAAACAATATACTCTTTTAAGAGTTATATACAAAAATCTCAAAATTACATTATATTTTATATATACCTTTGTCGATAATTTTCTTCCGCGCAAAAATTCGTCTGGAAGATATGGTCTGGTACCTTGGATTCTTGTAACCTGGTATTAAATTATATTCTGATAAAATATAATCAAAACTTGGTACCTATTGTTATAATACATATGGTGAAATAACGAATAAAAAAATCTAATATATGTTTGAAATGAATATATAGAAAAGTCAAATTAAAATAAGACAATTTTGGAAAAAAACTATTTGTTAAAACGAATAAAGTTGATAAACAAAACTATATAAATATAATGTGATATAGGATGTTTTTGATTGATATAAAAATACCGATTTTTAACTTCTTTGATTTGCTTCAAGGCACGATGCCATAAACTACTAGTTTAACTTTTTTTCATTTCTGCCTACAAAGAACTCAAACTCTAAGAAAAATCCAAGGCCTACTTTTTACAAAAATCTGATATATACACTATTATGAAAAAAAAATTAAAATATTATTGTAATTACTAAATTAACATAAAATATATAGGATTGATTTTTAACTGTTTGACCAATGTACATTTAAACGTATTTTAAACTTCTTTGACAATGGTTTGCATTAATTCATTATCTACTAATGTTAAGAGAAATATGTTAATCGACGTTTTATTGCAGAAGTTTGAATAAAGTAAAGTGTTTAGTTTTATATTACATTTTTCTCAAAATTTAACTTGAATAGTTTTTTAAAAATTATGGTAAATAATAAGAAAAGTATATAAACTTGGAATTTATTTACCTTCATGTAATCTGTATGCGGTCCTTCCCTTGCCAGACCAAAATCTCCAATCCTCGGTTCATTGCATTGATCAAGTAGAATGTTTGCTGATTTAATATCTCCATGAATTAAAGGTTTCTCTCGATTGTAAGTATGCAAAAATTGCAATCCTCTAAAATAATATATAGATGAATAAAATATATTTTGATCATCTAGTAATCAAAAACAAAATGTATTCAACATAAATTAAATAATCAAAATTTAAAGAAAATGTATTAAGTAACTAATTCAAAATTTCAGTTTATAATATTTTGCTCTCCTTTGCAATAGAATGGCTACCCCAAATACCACCACCACATTAAGTTCTCTAGATTACGATTTTCACTTAAACACATGCAAGCTCAGGCTCGTAATAAGCAATTTGAAACATGTACAAGGTAAGTAAAAACTTTATTCCTTAAATCCTTAGTTGCCAGAATCAGGTGAACTAGTACCAAAAGTCTTTGTAACTTTTCATTAGACAAAGTACTCATCAGATTGTATTTATATAGATCGTGTCAATGTTCACAATTGGGTCAAGAAATTGACAACAGCTAGGAACAACAAAGAAGAAAAAATGCTTCGAAATGATTTCATGGCATTTTTGGTCAAAGCTGTCCAAGACCAAAACTTGATTCCACCATTCAATGAACCACCTCCACCTGGTCCATTGACCGCAATGATAAACCTAATGGTATATCTTAGTTACTTTTATTATTAATATTAAAACATTTTATTTTAATAGTAGAATTGTATTTCCAAAGCCGGATGAGTTGCCACCTGGAACAATCGACACTACCTTTATGCCTGAACAACCTCTAGCACAAGCATCTCAAAGTTCGGCTCTATTCAATCTATCTCCTGACAATGGAGATTTTCTGATCTCCCAGCCATTACCAAGATGTGGGGTATTTTGTTATATGGCAGTTGTCAGTCAGCAACCACCAGAAGAAGAAGATTAGGCCTCGAATTAATTTTGAATAGACCCAATAAATGTAATACGTTATATTGACAAGTAATCAAAAAACATCTAGATCATTATATAAACATTACGCGAACATATGTCCAAATGTCACAAACAACCTTCAGATCCGTAAAAATTTTGTAGCGTTCAATAAATTACATGATCTTTAAAAGATATTTTTTCATTATTTGAATATTTATAAGTGGTACCCAAATGATTGTTACAAACGACGAAATTTTTCATATTTCCATTTTGCCATCAACATTTTTCGAGAGAATTCTTACTCGCTTAAAGCTCGTATCCCAAATTTTGCTCGTATGCCGAAACAATGAATCACTCCTTTGTCGCTAGTATTTCGAAACGCTTGTAAGTCAAGGTAGCATGGTATATTTATATAAAGTTTGTTGAGCTTATGAATAATAAACTAGTGGTGTATGGCATCCTTAAGGTAAATTGCTAGAACTTCCGCAAAGAAATGTTCGAGGAATATTAAGGTTCGAGGTTTTCAAATGGATTATTATAAATACTGCAACTAATATATGTTTACAGAAAAGTAAATAAGTAAAACTTAATCAATCTAATTTAAAATGAAAGGACATTGTCTACTATTTATAATAGTTATATGAAATGAATTGCAGAGTTAAGACTATTTATTTGAAGAATATAAGCGAATTTTAGAACTTTGGCAAGAACTAAAATTAAAATACGAATTAATTTCGATATAACAAAATTAGTGTATGGCATCGTGACATAAGGCATTTGCTGGAACTTCCCGTACAGTGACAAAATGTTCGAGGAATATTAAATGTTTTTAAATAAATTAGATTAATTAAATACTGTAACAAATTATACAAACTGAACTACAAAGTTAAAATCATTTATTTAAAGTATATAAGTCAGCTTTAAAACTTTAGCCAGAATTAAAATTAAAATCTGAATTATTTTCGATATACAAACAAAAAAAAATCCAAAAGCAATCGTTTTGTCAACACAAGCAGAAAGTTTTTTCAATCATTCAAATTAGATGCTTAGTTCTCGCAAAAACTGCAATTTTTTGCATGTTTGGCTCGGTATCTCCAAAACGGCTGGATCTGTCTTTGCCAAAAACTAGTCACCACTTCTCCCCGTCATTACGAATTGAATGTTGTTTGGATCATTCAAATCAGATGCTCCCGTTCTCAAAAACTCAATTTCTATTTTCTGCACTCTTTGCTCCGTATATCGGAAACGGCTAGACCCGCCTTTGCCAAAAACTAATCAACACATCCTATCAATAGGAATCGACTGTTTTTTGAACAATTTAAATCGGCTGATCTGTGCGCCCAAAAACGTGGACGAAAAATTGTATCCATGCATACATACACATACATACATACACACAGAGAAAGGAGAAAGAGCAAATGGGACTTCGCACAATCAAAAGCTAAGTATAAAATCGAGGTAAGAATTTAACATTCTAGATTCTCCCCCCACGAAGTAATGCCTAACGCGGGACCAAAGGTAAGGGAAAAGCGGA